GTTCATCCAGCCCTGCAGCCTGATATCAGTGGTGGGTAAGTTATTGGAGGGGATTCTGAGAGACAGGATTTACATGTATTTGGAAAGGCAGGGACTGATTAGGGATGGTCAGCAAAGCTTTGTGCATGGGAAGTCATGTCTCAAATTTGAGTTTTTCGAAGAGCTGACCAAGAAGATAGGTGAAGGCAAAGCAGCAGATATTGTCTACATTGACTTTAGCAAGATCTTCAAGGTTCCACATGGTGGACTGGATAGTAAAGTTAGATCACATGGGATCCAGGGAGACTGAACCAATAGATACAAAATTGGCTTAATGGTAGGTGACAGAGGGTGGTGGTAGAGGGTAGTTGTTCAAACTGGATGCCCATGACCAGCGGTGTGCCGCAAGGATTGGTGCTGGGTCCACTGTCGCTCATCATTATATAATGGATGAGAATATAGGTAACATGGTTAGTAAGTTTGTGGATGACACCAAAATTGGTGGTGTAGTGGACAGTGAAGAAAGCTGTGTAAGATTACAACCGAATCTTGATCAACTGGACCCGTGGGCTGAAGAATAACAGATGGTGTTCAATTTAGATAAATGTGAGGTGCTGCATTTTTGTAAGACAAACCAGGGCAGCACTTACACAGTTAATGTTAGGGACCTGGTGAGTGTTGTCGAACAGAAAGACCTTCAAATGCAGGTTTAAGGGCAAGAGGGGAAAGATATAAGGGGGACCTGAGGGGCAACTTTTTCACACAGAGGGTGGTGCATGTATGGAATGAGCTGCCAGAGGAAGAGGTAGAGGTGGGTACAATTACAACATTTAAAAGGCATCTGGATGGGTATATGAATCTGAGATAACAAGGTGTAGAGCTGGATGAACACAGCAGGCCAAGCAGTTCCTGCTCCTCCGATGCTGCTTGGCCTGCTGTGCGCATCCAGCTCTACGCCTTGTTATCCCAGATTCTGCAGTTCCTACTATCTCTGGTATATGAATAAAGAGGGGTTTAAAGGGATGTGAACCAAATGCTGGCAAATGGGATTAGTTCCATTCGGGAAACCTGATCGGCCCAACTCCTCTGTGCCGAAGAGCTTTTTTCCATGCTGTATGACTTTGATTATGACCAAAAGTAGGGTCCATTGATAGAAGATGGTCATTGATAAAATACGGAGTTCAGAAGAGAGATTTTGCCCAGAGTGATGGAATTTCTTTTACTTTATTCATTTGTGGGATGTGGGTGTTGCTGTTTGGGCCAGCGTTTCTTGCCCATCCCTAGTTGCCCTTGAGAAGGTGGTGGTAATGATTGGCACAACTGAATGGCTGGCTTGCTAGGCCATTTCAGACAGCAATTGAGTCAACCACATTTGCTGTGGGTCTGGAGTCACATATAGGCCAGACCAGGTAAGAGTGGCAGTTTTCCTTCCCTGAAGGACATTAGTGACCAGATGGGCTTTTCTGACAATTGCCAATGGTTTTCATTGTCATCAATGGATTCCAAATTCTAATTCAAGTTCCATCATCTGTGGCGGGTTTCGAACCTGAGTTCACTGTGTCCCACAGAGTACCCAAGGTGAATCATGTGGACACGTTTCAAGGGGAAACTGGATAAACATGAAGGAGAAGGAGGAATTCATTGCCACAGAGAGCTGTAGAGGCCAAGTCATTGAGTGACTTTAAGACAGGTTATTTAATGTTAGGGGAGTCAACAGTTACACGGAGAAGGCAGGAGAATCTGGTTTAGGAACCTATCTGCTATGTTGAGCAGACTTGATGGGCTGAATGACCTAATTCTGCTCCTATATCTTATGGCCTTACAGAGAAAGAAATAGTAGATGGTAAGTAGGTGGGAAGAAATTAGTTGAGAAAAGACTTGAGTGGAGGGCAAATATCAGTATGGACCCACTGAGCCAAATGGCCTGTGTCTGTGTACAATGAGAATTGATAGACTTTTGCTGTAAAGGCTTCACCATTCAGATTGATCTTCCTAGACCCAGAGCAAGGCAGAGCAATTAACAGCAATCAACTGTAGCACACTTAAACAAACATAAAAGCTGCAGATGCTGGAAACCTGAAACAAAGGCAGAAATTCAGCAGATCCAGCAGCATTTATGGAAAGAAAGTAGAGTGCTCCAGTGACCCTTCTTGAGAACACTGGAACTCTTGCCTGATGAGCACCTCTCTCTTCCAAAGACTACAGCCGTCTGCTGTAAATCTACAGTCATTCTTTGCCGAGGTAATTAATTCAACGACAAACTTTCCTGGGATTGTGGATCTTTGGAACATCAGCTGATGTATCTTGCTTCTGAAGTACATTTTGTTGTTGTCTCTCCATGAGCAAACTATGGCATGGGTGACTTTCGCTTGAGTATGAAGGAACCTTTTAACCGAGTGTTATGGTTTGATCCATCTGGTGGCAGCTCTCAGTATTACCTCATGATTAAATGCTTTTGTGTTTCTGTAGTGACTCCTTTTGTAACTAAAATTTCACAAATGAAAGCTAACGTCTAAAATATGACCCACGAAGTCAGGGAGCAGTCTCTCAACAATTTATCAAGTGAATTATAGTTTAGATTTAGATGAATATTTAGTGGCTTATTTTGACGAGAGACACTACATTTCACTCTCATTAGCTCAGTGACTGGAAAGTTTTTTTTTGAAGTTGGCACAATAGAGTGTTTTTTGCTCCACAGTGAACTTTTTTAGGTAATATTTTTCTAATATTCTCTAAAGGTTCATTTTAATTTGGTGGAGATTTGTTGACCTCATTGGTCTTTGCATGAGCTATCCTGTGATTGCAGCAAGCAACAAACTGCCTCATCGCTGAACGTCTGTCACTTTATAACTGGGAGGATTCTGCTGTCTTGCCCTCACCGAGACCACCACCCACGTTGGTGAATAAACTATTGATACTGTAAAAATAAATACTCTGCAAAGCTGCTTTTTATTTTTGCACATTTTGTGCTGATGAGGTTGAAGTTTATTTAGTTTGGGAAGTGAACCATATGGAACGAAAGTCAGGCAGGTTTCAGAACAAGAGACAATCTTCAGCCTCTAACAACTTTGTCTCCGTATGGCGACTGAGGAGCCCCTCCCCAAGTTTGATCCAGCTTTCACCGTTTTGAATATCCGAGGGAGAAGACTGAGTTTGAGGTGCTGCTGTTTTGTCCCGAGTATGTGTAGATCACTGCTCTAATTGGCATCGTAATAAAGAGTTTAACTCTGGTTGAAAAATGTTTCTGGAACTGAAGTGATTAGGGATTTTCCAGTTGAGTGTTTATGATTTATCTTTGAATGAACACCATATGTGTAACATTTAGATTACACCTTGCTGTTGAAATGTCACTGTTGTTTATTTGTCTGAGAATATTGTTTCTTGCCCTGGAGAAGGTGGTGGTGAGCTGCCGCCTTGAACCAATGCAGTCCATGTGCTGTAGGGAGACCCACAACACCGTAAGGGAGGGAATCCCAGCATTTTGACAGAGCAATAATGAGGAACGGTGACTGTAGTTTCAAGTCAGGATGGTGTGTGTCTGGGAAGTGATCTTAAATCTTTTGTTCTTCTATGGTGGAGGTCACAGATTTGGAAGAAGCTGATGAAGGAGCCTTGGCAAATTGTTGCAGTGCATCTTGTAGGTGGCACACCCTGCTATTGTGCTTCAGTTGTTGGAATGAATGTTTAAGGTGGTAAATGCATTGTGAGATATGTTGTTCTGGATGGTGTCAAGCTTCTCGAGTGTTGTTGGAGCTGCACTTATTCTGTAAGCTTCAATCATAAGCTTCAGATACTTCAACCGCAAGATCCTTCTTGTAGACCTCCTCTGGACCCCCTCCAATACTAGCACATCCTTCCTTAGGTAAAGCCCAAAACTCTCAATATTCCAAATGTATCTCACCAGAGCCTCATACAGCCTCAGCAGTACATCTCTGGGGAATGGGGAGTATTCCCTTACGCTCCTGACTTGCACCTTGTAGGAGGTGGACTTTGGGGAATCAGGATGTGAGTTACTTGCTGCGGCATTCCTAGCCTCTGAACTGCTCCCGGATCCAGAATCTCTGGTTTTTGGTGACCCCAGGAAGTTAATGCAAGTACAGTCGTTTTGTTACTGATATTCCAGAGACCTGGAATAGCATCTTGTACAACAATGATCTTGAATTATCTAGTTTCATTGTTGGAAACTCCAATGCAATTATTAGGTTAGTTACAATAGGTTTGATCATCTTTAGTACAAATTTAAATTCACCGCATGATTTTGTGGAAAGAATGGATTTGCAACAAATGAAATATTTTCTTCAACTACAGCAGTCTTTATTTGTTCTGCCATTAGTCCATAAGATACAGGAGCAGAATTAGGCTATTCAGCCCATCGAATCTGCAATGCCGTTCAATTGTGGCTGACCTGTTTCTCAACTTTATTCTTCTGCCGTCTCCCCATAACCTTCGATCCCCATGCTAATCAAGAACCTATCCATCTGTCTTAAATACACTCAATGACTTGGCCTATGTATCCCTCTGCAATAATGAGTTCCACGGATTCACCAAGCTTTGGCTGAAGAAATTCCTCCTCATCTCAGTCCTAGTGTCTCCTACTAGTGTAAAGATCTTCTCAGCATCCACAATATCCAGGAGTCTCCGTATTCTGCAAGTTTCAATCATAAGCTTCAGTCACTTCAACCCCAAGATTGTTCTTGTAAACCTCCCCAGACCCCCTCCAAGACCAGCCCATCCTACCTTAGGTACGGCACCCAAAACTGCGCTCAATAATCCAAATGTGGTCTGACCAGAGCCTTATACAGCCTCAGCAGCATGTTCCTGCTCTTGTATTCTAACCCTTTTGAAATTAATGCCAACATTGCATTTGCCTTCCTAATTGCCAATTGAAGCTGCATTTCCTTTTGTTCTTCAGATTTCCGAAACCTTTCCCCATTTAGAAAATAGTCTGTGCCTCTATTTTTTTCCAAACAAAATTTACAACCTCACACTTTCCCACACTGTAATCCATCTGCCACTTCTTTGCCTACTCTCCGAGACTGTCCAAGCCTTTCTGCAGCCTCACTGTTTCCTTAATGCTACCTGCCCCTCCACCTATCTGTGTGTCATTCCCCTAAAATCTTCCGGATGTGACCGATTTTTAGCTGAGTTGAACTGCTTTAGGCACAGCTGCTTTGTTTCTGCTGCTAGCCAGTGAGAATAGAGATTGATTGCTGCTAATGTGCTGTGTTGTAGATCCAGCAGTGCCAGAGGAGCAGCCAGGACATTGGCAGGAGAGAGAAGCTGGACACAGCCGTTGAGAAAGGGCCCTCGGAGAAAGCTACAGCTCAGACAGCCCCTCAGACCTCCACATGCTTAGCAACGTCCGATCAGAAGAAAACTGAATCCACCAAGTCAATAACACAAGGTGAGAGATTGTGGGCAGATTCCTTCTCTTGAGTACATGAATTCTCAGGATTTATGAAGGATGTTTCTGGGAAGTGCATGATTATGCAAAAGAAGAGACGTAATTGGATTCTGTGATTAAAATCCAGTGAGACTTTGTGTTTGCTATAATTATTGCAAGATGATTTTTATGGGATTGTTTGCATGGGCTGGAGAAGAAGTGCAGTCTTTCCTTAATGAATTTGTCCAGTGTAGCACTGAGTTCTCAGATTAGAAACTGCAGCTTTCATTTCTGGCCTGATTCTGACCAGATTCTGACCATTCTAACTGGCCGTTATTGGAGGGGAGCCATTGGTGCAGTGGTAATCTCACTGGACTAGTAATACAGAACCCCAGTCTCGTACTCGGGAGATCTGAGTTCAATTCTCACCCTGGCAGATGCTGAAATTTGAATTCAATTAAAAAGCTAGTCTAATTGCAACCGCTGATATTAAAACCCATCTGATTCACTGTTGTCCTTTTAGGGAAGGAAAGCTGCCATCCTTACCTGGTCTGGCCTACATGTGACTCCAGACCCACAGCAATGTGGTTGACTCTTAACAATCTGTTTGGGTAATTAGGGATGGTCAGTAAATGCTGGACTATCCAATGATGTCTGCACCCCAAGAAAGGAATTAGAACAAAAACTAGGAAAGGAACAAAGTCAGCCCAGGCTTGTGATGCAGATTGGTGTGCAGTGATCCCAGCTGATGTATGAATATTGGGGCAGTGAGAGGATTATTTGTGGACATGCCTTACATACTAGCATTGCTCATCTACGCTGTCACTGTTATAGCCCCTTGGACACAGTGTTGCCCCACAGTAAAATGCATGAGAGATTTTTAAGCATCCTGTAGGGGGTTGAAGTTCCAATAATTGGATCTTTCCCACCCAGACAGGTCTCTGCTTCTTTCTTATTAGCCCCTGTCCTTGTCCTTATCTGAAGGTATAGACTTGTCTGGCCACAGCTCCACAGATGTTGAAGCTTTGGCTGATTTGGTGACCAAATAGTGACAGTGGAGCAAACCCCAGGCTGACTTTGGTCAGATATTTTATACAACACTTTCTGAAAGAACTCACATGGCCTTTGGAGGTAGACCCTTGGCTGAGCTTCCAACCAGACCCAGATCCACCGTGAGCCTCTCCATCAGGGTCACATACCTCAGCCACCATCCCCCTCCCCGCCCTCCTCTCTCAGGTCTGGTAAATGTCACGCAGACCCGGGGTTGAAAAAACACCTCCTGGGTGGCTCAGTGTACCAGGCTCGGCCTTTACATGGAAAAATATCAGGCCAGAACCACTATTGTTTACATCAAACACTATTCATTTTACAGTTTGAAATACAAACTGAGAGCTGGAGAAACTCAGCGGGTCTGGCAGAGAGAAACAGTTAAGAGCTCAGTGACAACTCCTTAGAACTAAAGAGGGAGGGGGGCAAAGTGATGGGTTTTACTGTGGAAAAAGATGAGGAGGAGCCAGTGGGACAGAAAGAAAGTTCGGGGAAGGCTAAAGGGACATTAGAGATCCCATAGGCAGTGTAGGCAAAGACAAATTGAGTTATAATATCTATTGAGAAATAAAGATCAAGAGGAGGTGTTAATAGCAGAATGTAGGTCAGCTCAGCTTCAAGTGAAAGCATGAAAACCAGACACTGGCAGGGGAGAAGCACTGTAACAGAACAGAGGTCAGTAAAGGTGTTGAATTCACTGTGGAGTCCTGAAAAGGGTCTAAGTGGAAAAATGAGATGCAGTCCCTGCAGCTTGCATTAGGCTTTGCTGGAACACTGCAGCAGGCTGAGTACAGAAATGTTAATCTGAGAGGAGGCTGGTTTATTGAAATAGGGGAGATTGGACATTTTTGGTGGAGTCGTATTTTTGTCAGTAATTTATACAAGTAACTATTTGGTATTCGATTAGATTTTATTGTCATGTACCTGAGTACAGTGAAAAGTGTAGAGAGTCCACTCCTCTCCGGCACCATCTTGGAATACAACAGTTAGAATTAAAAACAAGAGCCACAATTAAAGAAACGGAAACAAAAGGTGAAGAAAATGTCCACATCACCCTCTGGATGAGTCTCGAGCTGGGCTCACCAACGCTGCCTACACATTGTTGGAGTATCGGAGAGAATCGATACGTGTGGAAAACACACTCTCCCTCTTCCTGAGATTGTTGTTACTATTTGTTAAATTCAGGAAATCTGGGAATGTTACAATCCCCGAGCAGTAGGGATAATCTGCACACACTGTTGCTGGTTAGGCTGGTGTGTCCATTCCTGCTCCCCAATGAAGCTAAGGAAGAGACACTGAATGGTTGAAGTTGCCTCCACAGGAGAGCGAGCATATGGAACAATAGCCAGCTGCACTGACTCAGGCCTCTGCCTCCCGGGGGAAGCCACGCTCGGCCGGCTGCTCTTAGAAAAAATCTCTTTGTACAGCACGTGGTCTCTTGTTTGTTACACAGGAACTGTCAGCACTGTCGTCGAGAATTAATATTCAGATATAGACAGGAAGCTTCACTAATTCATAACATTCCTGATGAGTTGTGTGCAGGGCAGTGTAAGAGAGGGGGCTAATTGTGTGTGTGTGTGTGTGTGTGTGTGTGTGTGTGTGTGTTGGAGTCACTCGTCGTCCTTCTGTGATCGTTTAAAGCCGTTGCCCTTGATGGCAGCATGGGATGCTTCTGTTGGTCTACAGGACAAGCTGAGACTTAAATGTGTTCATTGGCATCGTGTGGCACCAGTTCACATCTCTCAACCCCTCTCCCACTGCCCTTCATCCCCGCCCCCCCCCTTCGTTGTCCTGTGTATGAACAGTCTCCTCTACTCCTCCTGCGGTAATGGAGCCTGAGTTGATATTCTCAGAAGCTCCACAACATCAGATATGATCAAATGGTGGAACAGACTCAATGGGCTGAATAGCCTAATTCTGCTCTTATGTTTTATGGTCTTACCCAGAGCCATGCCACATGCAGCAATGGAATAAGATTGTTCTCTCCAGTGAGAATATTCTGCAGTCTGTAGAGGTTAGTCAGGTGCCAGTGAGAATTTGGTGGTTCAACTCAGTCGGGATCAGATGTAAATAGCAGGTTATCCAAGAATTGCCTGCACATGGGAACTTTTTTGAAATCTACCCCACTCTCTGCTTCCTGAGGTTCTGATAATTGCCTGTGGGTGATATATTTGCAGTTTGTTGGAAGGAAGTAGAAAGCATAGATTTCTCTGGTAATAACATCAGCTTTCTAACTGCTCCATTAGGCAACAAAGCTTTTAGAAAATGTAATTAAAAAGATTAGATCATGAAAAATGCTGTGAAAGCCTAAGAAACAAGAAGCTTGCATTGCTTCATCAACTAGTCTTTTCAGTAACAACTACACATACAGTACATTTACAGCATTGCTGTAGTTTAATGACTGAACCATCCAGTAACTAAGTTCCGTTCTTAAAAAGGTCATAGCAGACTCAAAACATTAACTGTCCTGTCTCCACAGAGGCTTCCTGACCTGCTGGGTTTCTCCAGCACTCTGTTTTCATTCACTTACCCTGTTGGTTTTGATTAGTGTCTTTGATTCAGTTGGGCAGTAACAGTACACATGTGTGATGTGCACATTGTTTCCACAAGAACACCAGAAATAGGAACAGAGCAGACGATTCAGCCCATTGATCCCATTCCACTATTCAACAGGATCATGGCTGATCATCTGCCTGATCTGTACTTTCCCACTCCCCATTTCCCCTGATATTCTGAAAGATCTATCTGTTTTTGTCACTGTTTCAACATCTGCAGCTGTTTCAGATAGAAAATTCCAAAGGATATGTTGGCTTTCATCTCCCAGCATTCTGTAGATTCCAGAACAAGGCAGCAAACATTCAATCAAGATGAGAGGGAGAGAAAATTGAGAATCTAGATCTGTAAGCCCAATGTCAGTTTTGGAGAAAATACTAGAATCTATTAATATAAGATACTAAAAGGGGCTGATGAAGTAGACATAGAAAGGATGTGTTCTATTGTGAGACAATCTAGAATGAGAGGTTGTAGTTTTTGGATAAGGTGTAGCAGATTTCAAACAGATGTGGAGGAGTTATTTTTCTCCAAAGGGTAGTGTATCTGTGGAATTCACTCCCCCAGAGTGCAGTGGATGCTGGGACATTGGGTAAATTTGAGGAGGAGATAGATGAATTTTTTTAATTAGCAATGGGTTGAAAGATTATGGAGAGCGGGGAGGAAAGGGCAGTTGAGGCTGAGATGAGATCAGCCATGATTGTATCAAATGGTGGAGTAGATTCGAGGGGCTGAATGGCCTCCTGCTCCTAGTTCTTGCGTTCCAGTAAAAATGTGGTGGCAGCGGTCTTTTTAAGAAAAAAATCAGAATATGTTTTGGAAGAGTTAACGCAAAGTTCTGAAAGGGAAAGCATGTCAGCAAATGACGTGGCTTCTGGCTTCATTGCAACCTTGTTCCAAACATGAAAACAATGAGCTGAGCTGGAGGTGAGGTGAGAGCAACTGCCGTTGATGTCAAGGCAACATTTAACAGTGTGGCATCAAAGACCGAATGTAAACAGTGAGGGAGAGGTTACAGTAAGAGCTAGCTGGCCAGAAATATAAAAACAAATGCTAAGAGTTTCTCCAAGTATTTAAAAAGGAAAAGAGCAAGTAAAGTAAAGGCGTGGATTGTGGCTCAGTGGATAGCACTGCTGCCTTACAGCGCCAGGGACCCGGGTTCAATTCTACCTTCGGGCAACTGTCTGTGTGGAGTTTGGACATTCTCCCCGTGTCTGTGTGGGTTTCCTCCGGGTGCTCCAGTTTCCTCCCACAGTCCAAAGATGTGCAGGTTAGGGTGGATTGGCCACGCTAAATTGCCCATAGTACCCAGGGATGTGCAGGCTATATGGATTAAACGTGGGAAATGCAGGTTACGGGGGTGGTGGGTGAGTCTGGCTGGGATGCTCTTCAGAGGGTCGGTGTGGACTCGATGGGCTGAAAGGCCTGCTTCCACACTATAGGGAGTCTATGAATGTTGGAACACTGGAGAATAAATCTGAGGAATTACTGGAAATTGAAGAAGTGGCAGATTAACTGATCACATATTTTGTCCACCTTCACTGCAGAGGATTCAAATAATATAATGTCCCAGGCATAATTGTGAATCAAGAGGTGTGGAGAATGGTGGGGATGAACTAGAAATGATTACAATGATCAGGGAAGAGGACTGAGGAAACTAATGGAACAAAAAGCTGAGAAGTCTCCAGATCCTGGTGGATTTCGCTCTAGGGTGTTAAAAGAAGTGGCTGCTCAGATAATAGATGCATTGGTTTCAATTTTCCAAAATTTCCTAAATCCTGGAACAGTCCCATCTTATTGGAAAATAGCAAATGTGACTTCGAGATTAGGAAGAAAGAAAGCAGGAAACTACAGGCCACTTAGCATAACGTCGGGGAAAATGCTAGAATTTTTTTTAAGGAGAAGATGCAAGGGCACAGAAAACTGGGTACAACCAGGCAGCGTCAACATGGTTTTGTGAAAGGGAAATCATGTTTGACAAATTTATTGGAGGTCCTTGAAGTTTATAAACAATATGCATAAAGGGGAATATGTAGATGGGTCCTTAGATTTTCAGGAGGCATTTGACAAAGTTCTACATCAAAGGATTCTACACAAAGTGAAAACCCATGGTGTAGAGGTAAGCATAGATTTAGGTTTGATTAGGTAACTGGATACAGAGGAGAGCAATATCTGTAATTTTCTGGTTGGCAAGATGTAACAGGTGGAGTGCTGCAGGATCCATATTGACACTTCTGTCGTTTCCACTCTATATTATTGACTTGGATAAAGGGGCTGAAGGTATGGTGGCTAAATTTGCTGATGACAGAAAAAATAGGCAAGAGAGTGATTGTGAAGTGCACATAAGGAAGCTACAAAGAGATAAAGACCAGCTAAGTGACTGGGCAAAAAATAAAATTAAGGAGAAACAAGAAAATATGAACTTTGGTAGGATGAGCAGAAAAACAAGAGGTGTCGAGGGGTAAAGGTTAAATTCAATCTTTTGGACATGGTCATCGTGTATTGCGAATGTTACTGGCCACTTGTCAATCCAAGCCTGGATATTGTCCAGATCTTGCTGCATTTGGACATGGACTCCTTCAATTTCTGAGGAGTTATGAATGGTGCTGAACATTCCCACTTCTGACCTTATATGTAGGGAAGATCATTAATGAGCAGCTGAAGATGGTGGCACCAGTGGCACTACCCTGAGGAACTCCTGCAGAGATATCCTGAAGCTGAGATGACTGACCACTAATGACCACAATCATCTTCCTACTTTCTAGGTATGACCCCAACCAGTTGGGAGCTTTCCCTGATTCATATTGACTTCCACTTTGGACCCTTGTATATGAGCTAAGAGCAGGAGTAAACTATTCAGCCCCTCAAGGCTGTTCTGCCATTCAGTATGATCATGGCTCCTCCTAGTTTCTCCTGCCAATGTACAGACCCTCCGAGGTCCAAACGCAGCAGCAAAAACTTCTGGAATTGGAAGTCGGTGGGTCTTTGCGCTGATCAGTGTGCAAGGGCCATCCAAGTAGCTCCCTAGTTCATCACCTCTAGTTTATGACCCTCAAGTCCATCACTCTAGGGAAGAGAGACACAAAGACTTTCAACCCTCAGAAAAATAATTTCCTCATTTCAGTCTTAAATATTGTCACTACAAGAGCAGGTCAGAAGATAGGAATACTGCAGTGAGTAGCTCACCACCCGAGCCCCCATCCCGAAGCCTTCCCAATATCTATGAAGCACGAGTCACAACGATCACCTTTATTTTGCAGGCAAAATTCTCAGATTGGACTCCAGATGTAAACATTTGTTTAAAATTGACCTAATTGAGCAACCAACAGTGAGTTTAGTTTTCTTGTTGGACAGCGTGACATTCACGAAAGTCTTATTTTTTAATAGCTCCACGTTTTCCTTATTTGGACAGCTACTCTAAATCTAAGTATACTGAGTGTGATGGATTACTTGCCTGGATGAGTGCAGCTCTGACGACGCTCAAGAAGTTTGACACCATCCAGGACACAGCAGCCCACTTGATTGGCACCACATCCACAACCATTCACTCTCTCTCCACCATCAACGCTCAGAAGCAGCAGTGTGTAATATCTACAAGATGCACTGAAGAAATTTGCCAAAAATCCTTAGACAGTACCTTCTAAACCCACAACCACTTCCATCTAGAAGGTCAAGGGCAACAGGCACATGGAACTCCGCCACTTGCAAGTTCCCCTCCAAGCCGCTTACCATCCTGATTTGGAAATATTTACGAGAGTAAAGAAGTCTTACTGCAATTACATGGGACATCAGTGAGGCCAAATCTGGAGTATTAGTTTTGGTCTCCTTGCCTCGGGAAGGATGGACTGGCCTTGGAGGAGATCAACAAAGGTTGGCTTGCCTGATTTTTGGAATGGTTGTGTGGAGAGTTTGTGTGTATGTGTATGGTTGTGTGTATTCCCTAGAGTACAGCATAGAGGAATAAGAAGTGATTTAATTGCAACATATAAAATTCCTAAGAGATTTGACAGGCTAGATTCTGAAAATGATTTCCCATGACTGGGGAATCTAGAACCCAGGGTCAGAGTCTCAAAATGACGAATCATCCATTTAGGGCTGAGATGAAGATGAATCTTTTCAACGAAAAGATTGTGAATCTTTGGAGTTCTCGACCCCAGATTATCGTGAAGGTCTGGTCATTGAGCATATTCAAAACCGAGATTAATAGATAGTGAGGGAATTCAATGGGGCTGTGGAATTGAAGTAGAACATCAGCTATGATCTTATTGAATGGCAGAGCAACCTATTCAATGGCCTATTCCTGCTCCCATCTCTTGCTTTCTCCAGCAAGGTCCCTACAAAACCATGTACTGTAGGAAACATAGAAAATAGGTGCATGGGTAGGCCATTTGGCACTTTTGAGCCTGCATTCAATATGATCATGGTTGATCATGCAATCTCAGTATTCCATTCTCGCTTTCTCTGCATATACCTCTTGATCCCTTTAGCTGCAAGGGCCACATCCAGCTCCCTCTTGAAAATATCTGATGATCTGGTCCCAACGGTTTCCTGTGGAAGAGAATTCCACAGGGTCACAACTCTGAGTGAAGAAATTCTTCCTTCTCTCAGTCCTGAATGGCTTACCCCTTATTCTTAGACTGTGATCCCTAGTTCCGGACTTCCCCAACATCGGGAACATTCTTCCCGCATCTAGCCTGTCTAGTCTCACCAGGATTTTGTTTCTATGAAACTTCTACCACCCCCACCCCCCAATTCTTCTAAACAACAGCGAGTACAAGCCCAGTCATTCCAGTCTTTCCTCGTACGTCAGTCCTGCCATCTTGGGAATCAGTCTGGTGAACCTTCGCTGGACTCCTTTAGTAGCAAGAATGTCTTTCCTCAAGTTGGTGAAGAAGACTTATAGGATGCTTGCCTTCATTAGCCAGGGCATAGAATATAGGTGCAAGTAAGTCTTTTTACAACTTTACCAAACACTGGTTAGGCCACAGATGGAATACTATATGTAGTTCTGGTCTCTGCACTAGAAGAAAGGTGTGATTGCACTGGAGAAGGTGCAGAGGAGGCTCACCAGGATATTGCCTTGGATGAAACATCTGTTATGAGGAGACATTGGATGGCTGGGTTTGTTTTCCTTGGAGCAGAGGAGGCGGAGGGGAGGATCTGATTGAGGTATACACAATGAGAGGCATAGAGTAGATCGTGAGAATCTCATCCCCATGATGGACATATCTGAGACCAGAGGGCGTAAGTTTAGGGTGAGGAGTAAATGGTTTACAAAGGATCTGAGGGAAAGGTTTTTAACCCAAGGGGTACTTGAGACTGTGGCAGAGGCTGGCACTCTTGCAACATTAAAGAAACATCAGGACAAGCACGTAAAATGCCAGGGCACAGTCGGCTACAGACCAAGTGCGGGTAAATGGGATTAGAGTACTTTAGTGTTTGTTGGTCAGCATAGATATGGTGGGCAGAAGGGCCTGTTTCTATGCTGTATGACTCCAGTTGCCCTTGAAAGGTGGTGATGAGCTGCCTCTGTAAACCACTGCAGTCCACCTGCTGTGGGTTAACCAACAATCACTTATTGGGGGAATTCCAGGATTTTGATCCAGTGATAGTGAAGGAAAAACCACATATTTCCAAGTCAGGATAGTGAGTGCCTTGGAGGGGATCTCGCAGGAGGTGGTGTTTCCCTGTATGCCCTCGTCCCTCCAGATGGAAATGGTCGTGGGTTTGGAAGATGCTGTCTGAGGATGTTCGTTGAAGTTTGCTCAGTAACAACAAATTGCTGTGAATTCGTTCATATTTAGAAAAATACCAGCAGAGTCTAG